CCAAAACTTGAAAACTTCACAACACAAAACTTAAAGTAGAAAACTCGTGAGCTCGGTTAGCGAAAGAAAACAAAAACCACTTCAAGGTACTATAATGAACTCATTATTTATTTATATTGGTGTTAAACCTACTGTATTACAACTTCTCTATGGATTATGAACTATTTTACTAACCATAGATTCATCAAAATAAGCAAACAACACACGAAAAACAAAATCTGTCAAAAACATAACAGTCTATAGTAATCTGTAGCTAGCGCAAGATCTGGAACCCCAAAAATTCTAAAATAAATTGCTGGACGTGAGGAATTTATCTATTAATCATCTGCAAAAATAATTAACTAAATATCACTCTCCAAATAAAAATGACAGCAGTTCTCATGAGCGCTAAAGTTTCTATTTTTTACAGCAAGTTCAACAAGACTTTCCCCAAGTCTTCCCAACGGTTCTACTTGGACAAACACTAATTAAACACAAAAAACACAAAACAGAGGCTAAATAATTTATTTATTACTAAACATGAGCTAAAAGCAAGGAATAAAAATAAAATTGGGTTGCCTCCCAACAAGCGCTATCGTTTAACGCCCCTGGCTAGGCATAAAAGCGAGGATAGATCTAGGTATTGCCATCTTTGGTAGGCAATTCTTCGATGAGGCATATATTTCCCTTAGGAATTTCTTTATTTCTAGTGATTATCAAACTTTTAGGCACAAGATCGAAAAATTCATTTGTAGCAATTGGTTCCTTAATGATAGGAAAAAGATTGGGATGAACACTTATAGATTTAAGATCCGCAGTTTCCTTACTAGATAGTTCACCCTTATTTTTATAAATATACATAAGCTTGGCAATTTTAGTAGGAGGACTTGGAGTATTCTTTACGGAAGAAAAAACGGTTCCCAAGTTTGTAATGATACCCTCAAGTTTATCAAATCTAGTAGAATCTAAGTTTATCTTCTCATTAACTATGGGTTCCTTTTCCTTAATATTTTTCAAAGTCATTACTACCTTAGATCCATATTGAGTAATTTGATTGTGGATCTTTTTATCTAGATTTTCAATCAATTCAATAGTAGCAACTTTATTTTCAATAATTTCAAGTCTTTGCATAACATGCTCCAAAGTTAACGTGGTTCCATTAACCAAAAGAGGTGGTGAGCCAAATAAATCTAACATAGCATTATAAGAATCAAAAGTATGGCTACCCAAGAAGTTCCCTCCGGTAATGGTATCGAGGATATATCTATACTAAGGATTAACACCTACATAAAAATTGCGGAGAAGAACTGAAGTAGATTGCTTCCTGGTAGCTCTATTTTGAGCATTGCAAATTCTATACCAAGCATCTTTTAGATTTTCTCCCTCCCTTTGTTTAAAATTTAGAACTTCATTCTCGGGAGACAACGGAGAAGATATGAGACTAGCCATGACGACAAGCAAACAAACTAGCACACGAGCAAACAAAAAGACAAGCGGAAAAGAGAGGGAGGATAGAGAGAGAGGGCGAATAAAATGGCAAGGGTGAAGTGCGGGAGAGGAAAACGAGAGGCAAATGGCAAATAATGTAATGCGAGAGATAGGGATTGTGATGGGTACTTGGTATGTTGACTTTTTGCGTAGACTCCCCGGCAACGGCGCCAGAAATCCTTCTTGCTACCTCTTGAGCTTGCGTTGGATTTCTCCAAAGAGGAAGGGATGATGCAGCAGAGTAGCGTAAGTATTTCCCTCAGTTTTTGAGAACCAAGGTATCAATCTAGTAGGAAGCCATGCTCAAGTCCCTCGTACCTGCACAAAACGATAGCTACTCGCAACCAACGCGATTAGGGGTTGTCAATCCCTTCACGGTCACTTACGAGAGTGAGATCTGATAGATATAATATTTTTGGTATTTTTGGTATAAAGATGCAAAGTGAAAAGTAAAAGGCAAAGTAAAAAGCAAAGCAAGATTAAAGTGATGGAGATTGATATGATGAGAATAGACCCGGGGGCCATAGGTTCCACTAGTGGCTTTTCTCAAGAGCATAAGTATTCTACGGTGGGTGAACAAATTACTGTTGAGCAATTGACAGAATTGAGCATAGTTATGAGAATATCTAGGCATCACGTCCATGACAAGTAGACCGAAATGATTCTGCATCTACTACTATTACTCCACTCATCGACCGCTATCCAGCATGCATCTAGAGTATTAAGTTAAAAACAGAGTAACGCTTTAAGCAAGATGACATGATGTAGATGAAGGAAATATGCCCTAGAGGCAATAATAAAGTTATTATTTATTTCCTTATATCATGATAAATGTTTATTATTCATGCTAGAATTGTATTAACCGGAAACATAATACATGTGTGAATACATAGACAAACAGTATGTCACTAGTATGCCTCTACTTGACTAGCTCGTTGAATCAAAGATGGTTAAGTTTCCTAGCCATAAACATGAGTTGTCATTTGATTAACAGGGTCACATCATTAGAGAATGATGTGATTGACTTGACCCATTCCGTTAGCATATCACTTGATTGTTTAGTTTGTTGCTATTGGTTTCTTCATGACTTATACATGTTCCTATGACTATGAGATTATGCAACTCCCGTTTACCGGAGGAACACTTTGTGTGCTACCAAACGTCACAACGTAACTGGGTGATTATAAAGGTGCTCTACAGGTGTCTCCGAAGGTACTTGTTGGGTTGGCGTATTTTGAGATTAGGATTTGTCACTCCGATTGTCGGAGAGGTATCTCTGGGCCCACTCGGTAATGCACATCACTATAAGCCTTGCAAGCATTGCAACTAATGAGTTAGTTGCGGGATGATGTGTTACGGGACGAGTAAAGAGACTTGCCGGTAACGAGATTGAACTAGGTATTGAGATACCGACGATCGAATCTCGGGCAAGTAACATACCGATGACAAAGGGAACAACATATGTTGTTATGCGGTTTGACCGATAAAGATCTTCGTAGAATATATAGGAGCCAATATGAGCATCCAGGTTCCGCTATTGGTTATTGACCGGAGACGTGTCTCGGTCATGTCTACATAGTTCTCGAACCCGTAGGGTCCGCACGCTTAAAGTTCGATGACGGTTATATTATGAGTTTATGTGTTTTGATGTACCAAAGGAGTTCAGAGTCCCGGATGAGATCGGGGACATGACGAGGAGTCTTGAAATGGTCGAGACGTAAAGATCGATATATTGGACGACTATATTCGAACATCAGAAAGGTTCCGAGTGATTCGGGTATTTTCGGGAGTACCGGGGAGTTACGGGGATTCGTATTGGGCCTTAATGGGCCATACGGGAAAGGAGAGAAAGGCCTCAAAGGGTGGCCGCACCCCTCCTCATGGGCTGGTCCGAATTGGACTAGGGAGGGGGGCGCCCCCTTCCTTCCTTCTCCTTTTCCCTTCTCTTTCCTTCCCTCCTACTCCTACTACTTGGAAGGGCTCCTAGTTCTACTAGGAAAGGGGGAATCCTACTCCCGGTGGGAGTAGGACTCCCCTAGGGCGCGCCATAGAGAGGGCCGACCCTCCCCCTCCTCCACTCCTTTATATACGGGGGCAGGGGGCACCCCAAAGACACAACAATTGATCACTTGGATCTCTTAGCCGTGTGCGGTGACCAAAGATATGAAAATAAGCATAACTGTGTATGGAAGCAAAATAGACATTTAGTCATTTTAATATAGCTTACAAAAACAAACCCTTAGAAAGTTATGTCAATTTTGTTGGGTTCAGCGTTGTACAAAACACGGAAACCCTTTTTTACCCAACGCGAAGGACTAAATAAAATCGTAAAACGAGCTATATAGATCTCCTAATAAAACCTTTATGGAACCTACAATTAGTTTTGTTCATTATTTACGGATGTGTTTTAATTTTTGTGAACATTTTCTAAAAGCTGATGGACATGATTTTTAAATTCCTGAATATGCTTTGAATATTGGCTCATTTAAAAAAATCATGAACATTTTTTATTTCATGAAATCATTAGAAATCGTGACTTGTTTATAATTTGTGAGCAATTTTTTAAGTCATGAACATTTTTTGATTTTTAGAATATTTTTTAAATTCACAAACAGTTTACCATTTTCCTACTTTTTTTCAGAACTCGCAATTGTTTGATATTTTTGGAAATCCGAAATTAAAAGAAATAAAAAAGTAAAAAGAAATAAAAAATAGGGGGCGCCATCAATCCGAAATTTATTTTTAGGGAAAAAACAAAATAGAAATAAAAAAAAGATATAGAAAACAGGGGGCGCCACGACCCGCACATGGGCTGGCCCATTACTGCGCTTGGTAAAAAGAGAGAGAAAAAGCGTGAGAACCAGGGATTGAACCCTGGTCTCCTGTGTGGAGCATCGTTGCCTCAGCCATCGCGCTACTCATGCATTGGTGCTATTATATCGTATCCACCTTTAATAACAGAACCCTGGAGCGATATTAGAAATTAAAAACGAATCGTTTTTGCCATTTACGGGTGGCATTGATGGGTAATTATTGCCAACTTCGAGGGTTGTTTTTATGACGTACCACCAGAAGCGATGCGTGGTTTATTAGTATTAGTATTAGTATAGTATTAGTATTAGTATTAGTATTAGTATAGTATTAGTATTAGTATTAGTATTAGTATTAGTATTAGTATTAGTATTAGTATAGTATTAGTATTAGTATTAGTATTAGTATTAGTATATAGTATAGTATTATTATTAGTAGGTAAAGATAAAGATAAAGATAAAGATAAAGAGGTAAAGATAAAGCGAAAAAAAACTTCGCAGCAGCAAGGAACAAACTCCCTGATGACGCCGAATTGGCCAGCCCAGTTGGCCGGCCAGGCCGAAGATATTTCGAGAGCATGCTGGAACAACCTCGTCACCCACCTCCGTCCCCGACTCCTACTCAACACTACGCGAAGCTCCTAGAAATGAACGGAATGATCGACCGAACGAACTTTCTCGAGTCCTCGAGCTCACCTCACACCTTCATGGAATTGACCCCTCATGCCACCTTCTATAAATAGCGCGCAAACACTTTCTACTACATATCATCTCAAGAGAGAAAAAGAATCAAGCACACATAGCGCATCCACACATTCGAGAAAGAAACAGCAAGGTCTCATCAAACAATTGAAGCTTCATACAGAACAGGTGGCAATGGCGGCAGTGTCCAAGAAGGCTCTGGTGACTACGGCTGTTCTGGCGTTGGCCGTTCTGGCCCCGACTGTCGCCGGGCTGGTGCCGTACGGCGTCAGCAGCGGGCTGTGGGACCTGCTCGACGACCCGTTCCGGGTGCTGGAGCAGACCCCGCTCGCGGTGCAGAGGCCGGCGTCCGCAGGCGGCCCGGGAGGGTCCATCACGTCGGCGGTGGCGCTGGCGAGGTGCGACTGGAAGGAGACGCCCGACGCGCACGTCATCTCGCTCGACGTGCCCGGGGTGAGGCGGGATGACGTGAAGCTGGAGGTGGAGGAGAACCGGGTGCTGCGGGTCTCCGGCGAGCGCAAGGCGGACGAGGAGAAGGAGGGCGAGAGGTGGCACCGCGCCGAGCGCGCCGCGGGGAGGTTCTGGCGCCGGTTCCGCATGCCAGCCGGCGCCGACGTCGACCGCGTTGCCGCGCGCCTCGAGGACGGCGTGCTCACCGTCACAGTGCCCAAGATTGCCGAGCATCAAAGGCGAGAGCCGCGCGTCATCAACATCGCCCGGGAGGATGCCAACAGCGGCGGCAAGGGCGCGGACGCGGAGGTCAGGCCGTCGAAGGCCGAGATGTGAGCTTTCGTGTAGGAAACCACGACGAGAGCGATGCGTCACGTTTGGATGTGTTGTTGTCGGTTCATGCTTACCTTTGCGTGTGATGTTGTTGCTCTCAGGTACCTTAAGGGCGTGATTGGTTGCCTGGGTGGCTTTAGCCTGCATCGCACGAGGGATCCTGGGTGAGCGTGGCCTGGCTGAGCTGATGCAGAGATTGGTTGAGAAGTGTGTTTGGTGCACTGTATGATATTGTTGCATGAAAGATGCTATATACAATAGATCTTATTTGGTAGACTGCATTTGAGCTTAATTTTGTGAACCTTTCTCTTTCAGTTTCAATAATTTCAATTAGATCTGGATCATTCCATGAAACATGTAAAAGAAGGCTGAACTGAAATCTGAACTAAACTCAGGGGGGAGAGGGGGAGAAATACAGCGCCGGTTGCGGCCCGCAGCGCGTAGGTGCTTTCCTCTGGATCCGTGGTGGACGGCGTGTCCCCTGGCGTGAGCATGGAAGAGCACCGGCGAGGGAGCTCGGCCGGCAGCGGGCGGCATGTCCCCCTGCGTGGGCGTGGAGGAGCGCTGGCTAGGGAGCCCGGACTGGTGGCGGACGGCGTGTCCCCGACGTGGGCATGGAGGAGCATCGGTGACGGAGCTCAGCCGGCGGCAAGCGGCGTGTCCCATGCGTGGGCGTGGAGGAGCACTGGCTAGGGAGCCCGGACTGGTGGCGGACGACGTGTCCCAGCGTGGGCATGGAGGAGCACCGGCGACGGAGCTCGATCGGCGGCGGGCGGCGTGTCCCTCAGCGTGGACGTGGAGGAGCGCCTACTAGAGAGGCCGGACTGGTGTGGACGAGGGATCTCAGGCAACGGCAGCGGCAATGGATTACACAATCCAATCTGATATGTGAGAGAGGAGGAGGAAAAGGAGACACGGGACGAGAGTTGCGGCTGCAGACGCGAGCCTGGCTTGGAGATACGGCCGATTCCTGCGTGCCCCTCAGCCTGGCTGAGAGGCCTCTTTTGTATATGTTGGGTCAAGCTGAGGAGGCCGCACAGGCCACCAAACGTAGTAGATTTTGTATGCGGGTGCGAGGCAGGTGCCACACAAGAAATCAAACACGCCCTTAGGTGCCTTGATCAGTTGGATACCCTGATCAGTCACATTTGCAAGAATCTACATTTTTACTTCTTAATTGCTAGTTTGCCTTATTCCCCTCCTTAATTTCATTACTGGTTTCAATATAAAGCATCTTACAATACCCTTTTTTTGGGTGAATCATTCTAGAATACCCAACTTTAAAAAGGCATCTTACAATATGAAACAATACATAACTTTCCATAATATTAGCAAAATTCGTTTTTGATATAACCAACTAACATATACAACAAACATATTAGCAAAATTCGTTTATGATATACTCTATCCATCCTATGTCATAATACATTATTTTAGATTCCCTTTGACCAGATTCTTTTTTACCATTGGTTAGATTCTTTTTTACCATTGGTTAGAGCAATAATATATAATATACTTTTACACAAAGCATCAAAGTTTTCTTTGATCATGCGTTAGAGCAATAATATATAATATGCATCTACACAAAGCATATGTTAAATTTGTATGTGAGAAGATTCTAATGATATAATTTTTATATCAAACGAGCCTCATGCATTGATAATCTTGTTAATGGTTAAAGAAACCCTCAAACATCGTATTAGACCCTATATATAATATATGGATGAAGAGAGTATGATTGTTTAAGGGGTTAAATATATTCAACTGAAAAAAAGATAAATATGTTCAAAAAAACTGAAAATGTTAGGGCAACTTCATTTGCTTGTGCATCAAATCGGACACGCAAAACATTCGTGGACACGTCCGATGTGTTAGGGACAAAGGGTGCCTCCGATGCTACAACACCTTAGTTGCCAAAATCGTAGTCGCCGTTGACATCGTCCTTTCTACGGCCAAAATCGTCGTCGCCATTGTCATCGTCCTTTCTACAGCCGAAGGTCTCCCCAGAGTCATGAATCGATACGGCAGAGCTACTTCGCCTTGCACAGATGATTGGCCACGTTCGCCTGGCGGTGACCGTCGTGTGTGAACTCCGTCCCGCGCCACTCGCCCTTGCCTTTGCCGAGGAGGTGCTAAGCCAAGTGTTCGGACTCAGCTAGTCCCAACTTGTAAATGTTGGAAATATGCCCTAGAGGCAATAATAAAATGATTATTATATTTCCTTGTTCATGATAATTGTCTATTATTCATACTATAATTATATTGTCCGGAAATCGTAATACATGTGTGAATACATAGACCACAATGTGTCCCTAGTGAGCCTCTAGTTGACTAGCTCGTTGATCAACAGATAATCATGGTTTCCTGACTATAGACATGGGGATGTCATTGATAACGGGATCACATCATTAGGAGAATGATGTGATGGACAAGACCCAATCCTAAGCTTAGCTCAAAGATCGTGTAGTTCGTTTGCTGTAGCTTTTCTGAATGTCAAGTATCATTTCCTTAGACCATGAGATTGTGGAACTCCCGGATACCGTAGGAGTGCTTTGGGTGTGCTAAACGTCACAACGTAACTGGGTGACTATAAAGGTACATTACAGGTGTCTCCGAAAGTGTCTGTTGGGTTGGCACGAATCGAGACTGGGATTTGTCACTCCGTATGACGGAGAGGTATCTCTGGGCCCACTCGGTAATGCATCATCATAATGAGCTTATAGTGATCAAGTGGTTGACCACGGGATCATGCATTACGGTACGAGTAAAGTGACTTGCCGGTAATGAGACTGAACAAGGTATTGGGATACCGACGATCGATTCTCGGGCAAGTAACATACCGATTGACAAAGGGAATTGTATACGGGATTGCTTGAATCCTCGACGTCGTGGTTCATCCGATGAGATCATCGAGGAGCATGTGGGAGACAACATGGGTATCCAGATCCCGCTGTTGGTTATTGATCGGAGAGCCGTCTCGGTCATGTCTACATGTCTCCCGAACCCGTAGGGTCTACACACTTAAGGTTCGGTGACGCTAGGGTTGTAGAGATATGAGTATGCAGTAACCAAAAAGTTGTTCGGAGTCCCGGACGAGATCCCGGACGTCACGAGGAGTTCCGGAATGGTCCGAAGGTGAAGAATTATATATAGGAAGTGCAGTTTCGGCCATCGGGAGAGTTTCAAGGGTCACCGGTATTATACCGGGACCATCGGAAGGGTCCCGGGGGTCCACCGGGTGGGGCCACCCATCCCGAAGGGCCCCATGGGCTGAAGTGGGAAGGGGAACCAGCCCCTGGTGGGCTGGTGCGCCCCCCCTTGGGCCACCCATGCGCCTAGGGTTGGGAACCCTAGGGGAGGGGGCGCCTCCACTTGCCTTGGGGGGTACTCCACCCCCTTGGCCGCCCCCCCCCTAGGAGATCCCATCTCCTAGGGCCGGCGCACCCCCCTAGGGGAGGCCTATATAAAGGGGGGGAGGGAGGGTAGCGACACCTCAAGTCTTGGCGCCTCCCTCTCCCCTGCTACACCTCTCCCTCTCGCAGAAGCTCGGCGAAGCCCTGCTGCGATCATTGCTGCATCCACCACCACGCCGTCGTGCTGCTGGATCTTCATCAACCTCTCTTTCCCCCCTTGCTGGATCAAGAAGGAGGAGACGTCATCCGCTCCGTACGTGTGTTGAACACGGAGGTGCCGTCCGTTCGACACTTGGTCATCGGTGATTTGGATCACGGCGAGTACGACTCCATCATCCCCGTTCTCTTGAACGCTTCCGCTCGCGATCCACAAGGGTATGTAGATGCACTCTCCTCTCGTTGCTAGTTGACTCCATAGATTGATCTTGGTGAAACGTAGGAATTTTTTTTGTTTTCTGCAACGTTCCCCAACAGTGGTATCAGAGCTAGGTCTATGTGTAGTTACTGTGCACGAGTAGAACACAAAGTAGTTGTGGGCGTCGATATTTCCAATTTGCTTGCCGTTACTAGTCTTATCTTGATTCGGCGGCATCGTGGGATGAAGCGACCCGGACCAACCTTACACGTACGCTTATGTGAGACCGGTTCCACCGACTGACATGCACTAGTTGCATAAGGTGGCTAGCGGGTGTCTGTCTCTCCCACTTTGGTCGGATCGGATTCGAAGAACATGGTCCTTATGAAGGGTAAATAGAAATTGGCAATTCACGTTGTGGTTTTGGCGTAGGTAAGAAAATATTCTTGCTAGAACCCTATTGCAGCCACGTAAAACTTGCAACAACAATTAGAGGACCTCTAACTTGTTTTTGCAGCAAGTGTCATATGATGTGATATGGCCAAAGTTGTGATGAATGATGAATGATATATATGTGATGTATGAGATCATGTTCTTGTAATAGGAATCACGACTTGCATGTCGATGAGTATGACAACCGGCAGGAACCATAGGAGTTGTCTTTATTTTTGTATGACCTGCGTGTCATTGAGAAACGCCATGTAAATTACTTTACTTTATTGCTAAACATGTTAGCCATATTAGTAGAAGTAATAGTTGGCAAGCAACTTCATGGAGACACGATGATGGAGATCATGATGATGGAGATCATGGTGTCATGCCGGTGACAAGATGATCATGGAGCCCCAAGATGGAGATCAAAGGAGCTATATGATATTGGCCATATCATGTCACTATTATTTGATTGCATGTGATGTTTATCATGTTTTTGCATCTTGTTTACTTAGAACGACGGTAGTAAATAAGATGACCCCTCATAATAATTTCAAGAAAGTGTTCCCCCTAACTGTGCGCCATTGCGACAGTTCGTTGTTTCGAAGCACCACGTGATGATCGGGTGTGATAGATTCCAGCGTTCACATACAACGGGTGTAAGACAGATTTACACATGCAAACACTTAGGTTGACTTGACGAGCCTAGCATGTACAGACATGGCCTCGGAACATAGAAGACCGAAAGGTCGAGCATGAGTCGTATAGAAGATACGATCAACATGAAGATGTTCACCGATGTT